TCATGCATTGTCTACAACAATCACGACTATCCTTCACCGATAGCCCAAAGCAGTTATTTCTAAAACAGAAATTAAATGCGCAAATGGATAAATGGTTATTCTTTCATTTCCTCATTTCTCACCAATTAATTATCCCAATTAATTAAATAATGTAATTAGGCCATTTTCCATAATTACCATTTCAACCCTTAGGTCCCATTTTCATCAATGATTCAACAATCATTCCATTTTCTTCATGCCAAACATGCATCTAGGTTTATTATGAATGAAACCCCAACCTTTGTAGAATTACACAAAAGCCCCAAATTTTCACAAAATTACCCAACCAAGCCCAACATCTCAAAATACTAATTCACTGTTGTAAGTTTGGCCAGGTTCTGAGCCATGTTGATAAAATTGGAAAGTAAAACGTGTCTTAGACAATAGTGTCATGAGACTGTAAAATGAAGTAATTGATTATCTTGGTTAACCATCTGTTGAATGCTATTGCTTTATTCATTGCTTATATGTGGTTTAGTATATTTCTACTGGGCTGTGGCTCACCCTTTATGGGAACATCATTTTCAGGTCCAGGTGATAAGCTTCCTCCCAGGACTTAGCTTGGAAGGATTTGGATTTTGAAGACTATTTTTAGTTGTTTGTTTTTATTTGATAAATAATCAAGCCCAGGGCTTTGTTTGCATTTGAGTTAGAACTCTTATTTTGTATCCAAGTGTTGGCTTGGAAAGATGTAAGCCCATAGGGCATTTAATTTGATGTTCATGTAATGTTTATTTAGTAACATTCTGATGAATAAATTGTTTTCTTTAAGTAATGCATGTTGATGATATACATATAATGGGTTTATTTTGAGGGCGTTACATAACGGCAGCGGGCGCAATAGCGAAGAAAAATGTTTTAAAGGTTTTTTTGAGGCAGACATCTATACTATTCCATCTACCTAATTCTAGTGTTTGCATTGCATTGTGTGACATCTTAAGAAATATGAAACATGGATATCAAATATTTTGGTAACTTGTCCTCCTGTAACATCAGTCTTGCATTTGTAGTTTTCTCCATTATTGCTAAAATTCCTCATGTCATCTTTTTGTTCTGTTCTTAATAGATATATGTAATTTATTTTATTGGAATGGTCTTAGTTATAATTCGTGTAATTGTTGTGTCCTCAAGATATTTGTATATGACAAATGCTAAAAGTGCTGGATATTGGGATTGAAATAAAGAAGTGACTTGAAAATAGGTCAAACAGTTAAAAGCAGTGCATTGATTTCAATAAAAACTGCATTGAATTTAATAAAAAGTGTCTTGTGTTTTCAAATTTATTTCTTGGTCTACTTTTCGTGTCCTCGAGGCACTTGTTAACAAGACCCTTCATATTGGTATTCATAATTGTAGTTTTATTTTATTTTCGTCCCGTCAATGCTACTTCAGAAATAAATTTTGTTCCTTATGTGATGCCACATCTTATTGTGTATGTTTAAAGTTATTATGCACCTTCCCGACCTTGTTGGAACAAAATATGGTATAGTAATTTCGTACTGAAACTAATTGAGCTTAATGTAGATTTTGACAACTAAACACATATGTTTAATTTCAAAAAGGAGGATCTAAAAGAATCCTTAGAGCCTGGTGTCAAGAGAAAATTGAGAAACTAATTGGCATGAGTAGTATTTTATTTTTGAGTTACGACTTATGTCTACAAATTGGCTTTCCTACTTAACAAAAACAATAAAAATAGAATCATCTTTACCGACTCAAACATGAATGAATGAAGGTCCTCATACTAGGATCAGCATCATGTAGAACCACCTCTCCAAAATAAAGAAAAAATAGACGAATTTCCTGAGTAAAACTATAGAATAGAAGAACAATGGTTACATCATCACATATGTAAGCATAACTAGGGGAGAGGCAAATATCAAGCACCAAAAATACTTCAACATTCCAAATAAATAGTAACTACAAGTTAATAACACCTGCAATCAATTCATGGTCATTTTTTTCCAAGTTTTGTTTGTTTCTTGTTTGGTTGAAGGGCTATTTTTTATAAAATTAAACTTCTAAATAACAGAGAATCTCGGCGGTTGCCTCGCCCTCAATCTCCATCAACATCTCCAAATTACATGGACTACACTAACAGGAACTGCAATGTATGTAGAACTCTAAACTTGAAGTAAAAGCAAAATTAAATAAGATGAGACAAACAATACACATTTTTTAACAATGGAAAAGTGGGGACATGCATATAGGAGTCACCCAAAAAAAAAAAAAAGAAGCAACAACATTATTTAATGGGAACTGCATTTTTATAACTAAAATCTATGGCGGTAGTGATGGAAAATTATTTGTACATCCACAAGAAAAGATGTAGGCAAGTTGCACCCTGCCATGACACAATATACATTGAATGCTTTGATTTTCAAGCTTTTCCAATAGAAGCTTCAAAGTAATACCAAAACAAAACTTGTCTCAATTCCACTAAAATAACTTTTTTACCTCATAAGAGAAAATTTGGTCTATAAATAGAGTAGAAGTTTTCACTGTAAGTAGGGGAACCAATGCACATATTAAAGCTAAAACACATATTAAAGCTAAAATAGAACATGAATTTCAAAATTACTATACAGAGTGAAAATATTGTGACATGCATCAAGAATAAAGTGAAAACATTGACATCATGCAATGCTATAGCAAAATACACATCAAGAGAGAGAGGAGAGATAGTGACAGTGGTGATTAAGAGTTTGATGAGGGTGTGTGGTCATAAAGCAATCAATGGATAGAGAAATCAATACCAGTAAAAGAAGACCACTAGAGGTTTGAGATTGAGAAATCGAAGCCACTGAGCATTGAAAAATCTTGTTAAGTTGCAGATAAACCCTAGCTATGAAATCTTCAACACACTTCATGAAGCTTGTTCACCTGATCATATTGAAATCACATAAACAAAAATAATCACAAGAATAATCAAGCAATTTTATACAAATTTCAATTAATCTCAAGCAATTTGAAGCAAAATTTAAGCAATTCTCCATCATCAGAAAGACGATTTCAGAAAAATAAATAACTAGATTTCAAGATACGTGATGGATTTCAAACGATCTCACACTTCTTCTTCGTCTACTTCGTCTTAGGGTTTGAGTGTGGTTTAGGAGGTTTCTGCTGCTTCGTCTAAGGGTTTTTTTTGTGCTTCGTCTTCATGTTCTCCATCAGAAAGACGATTTGAATGAGTCAATTTCAAAGGTTTTGGGTTTCTCAGATGGATAGAAGCTAGAGAGATCGAGGGTTTAGGTTTATGGAGAGAGAGAGCAACGACGGAAGATAATAAAGAGAGAGAGAGAGAGGCGACAATAAACAAAGGAGTGAAAAGAGAGAGGAGACCGTTATAAAAACCCTAATTTGAAGCGGTGGAAGATCAGCGAGAGAGAGGGGTCTAGAAACAAAGGAGAGAAAAGAGAGTGAAAGTTTGAAACCCTAATTTTTAACACGTTACCTTGGGGGTAAGTGGAAGCAAGCTTCAACCAACCAAGCTACCTAAAATGTTGATATGGAACTGAAATTAATAATTTATATATATATACTAATGTATGCCCGTGTTGTTGTGATCAAAATGTAGTTATAATTTATACGTATCATGCTAAAATTTGTAAAATCTGTAACTTTTTTTGATAAAAATACTAAAAAGTATAAAGAAATATTCATCTTATGGATTAAAATATAATTTATCTAATTTGTTGCGCAAAAAAAAAAAAAATTTGAGGTCAAAATATAAATAGATGGTCCGTTTGGTTTGGATTTTCAAATAATTTTATAATTAGAGTTTGGTTGTATATTTTGAAAATAATTTTTACAAATTTGAAATTCAAAACTTATTTGGTTATTAGTTTTCAAAAATAATTTTTAAAATTTTCAATCTGTATTTTATTACTTTTAGTAAACTTTTTAAATATTTTAATCAACATTTTTAACTTTTTCAGATCCATTCAATCTAAATACACTTAAAAATTATAAAATTTAGAGTAATTGTTATAAAATTTACACTTAAAAATTTTTAAAATAATTTTTACAAATTTAATAAAATTTTATAATTTTGCATGATTTATGTATTTTTATGTATTTTAAGTATTTGAACTCAATTATAGTAAATAATACATTTTAATTATTTTTTTAATATTTTGTATAAAATAAATACTAACAAACAAAAACATAATTTTTCCAAGAGAGTGAGGCGACGGTAGCGGTGGCCGTGACGGACACAAAAACACACTGTGTCCAAGAGCCACAATAGCCCAAAAAAACAAAAAACAAAAAACAAAAAAAACTCTTCACCCCCACCCACCATCCATCCTTTCTCGCTCATCTCACTTTTTCAAATTTCAAATTTTAAAACACACTAACTCTCTCTCTCTCTCCCTCAAAACACACTTTGCTACCCAAGAAGAAGAGGCCAAATCTATAAAGGCCAAAAAAATAATCCTGCCATATTAATGCGTTCGGTAACGTTTCGTTTTCAGTTTATATTTACAAAATTTTATAAACTGGTTTTTGTTTATTTTTTATTTATTTTTAGAAAAATATAAACTACAAACGCGTTTGGTAATTGACAAAATATTTTGAAAAAATTTAAAATATAAAAAGAGTGAGAAAATGACAACTGGTGACAAGTGGGGCGGAAGACGGTGGTGGAAAGTGGTGACGGTGGGTGGTGGGTGGTGGCGGTGTGGTGGTGGTGGTGGTAATTGGGTGGGTGACGGTAAGCGGGTGGTGGTGAGTGGGTGGTGGTGGTGGTGGCGGCGGTGGTGGTGGTGTGGCAGGTGGGTGGCAGGTGGGTGGCAGGGTGGTGGGTGAGTGGTGACGGTGGCTGGTGGTGGGTGTGGTGGCAGGTGGGTGGGGGTGGTGATGGTGGGTGGGTGAACGGTGGCGGGTGGTGATGATGTGGTGGATAGGTGGGTGATGGTGGCGGGTGGTGGGTGGGTGGGTGGATCATGGTGTGTGGGTGACGGAGGCGGGTAGGTGGCGGGTGTGTGGTAGTGGGTGGGTGGGTGGGTGACGGTGGCGGGTGGTAGGTGGTAGCGAGTGGGGTGGGTGGTGGGTGATGGTGGCGGTGGGTGGCAAGTGGCTGGTGGTGGCAGTTGGTGGATGGTGGTGACAGGTGGGTGGTGAGTGGATGATGGCACAGTAGTGGCGGGGTGGTGGTGGTGTGGTGGTGCAGGTGGGGGTTGGGTGGTGGTGTGTGGTGTGGCGAGGGGTGGTGGTGGTGGCAGTGGGTGGCAGGTGGGTGGTGGGTGGTGGTGTGGTGGTGGGGTGGGTGGTGAGTGGCGATGGCAGGTAGTGGTGGTGGTGGCCGAAGACGGCGGTGGAAAATAATGGCGGTGGTGGCTAGTATTGGGTGGTAAAAAAAAAACTGAAAACTCAAAAATTGAAACAAATTTTTTGGTTTTCATTTTTTGGCTAAATTTAATAAACTGAGACCACTGATTTATAAATTAAAAATTTTACCAAAATAAGTTTTTATTTGAGTTTTTTAAATTTTTGTAAATATAAACAAAAAACTGAAAACGTAAGTGTTCCAAACGACACCTAAGTGTTTGAGACGTGAGAGAGAGAGAGAGAGTATTTGGGCGGGAATCAAGTGTTTGGTACATTTGAAAGGATTATCTTAACCATTGATATACACTTAGAATTAATTGACCATTAAATCATTTTGGACATTTTTAAAAATCATCCTGCCATATTATATAGATTTACCTTTGCCATTGTCACTATGTCAAGCACAATGCCTTGGGTCTCAAATCCCCAAAAATGGCTCCCAGTGTGAGCAAACCCAGATTGAACCTCATCGGCAATACAAAGCCCTCCTACTTTCTTAATACTGCTGTATACGGCAGGAAGTAACCTGGGGCCAATTCAATAATTCCACCCACTCCCTGCCATTTTAGAGAGTAGTTCAAATTAGACAGTAACTCGGAAGAGGTAATATTAATAGGAAAATGATATTCTCACACAATTTTTGTAAGAATTTAAGACAAATAATTTGGCAATGACACTCTTGCAATTATGAACCATAGTGATGGGCATTTGACTATCAATGAGGGATATAAATGCGACACATCATTTTGCATAATTTTTTTTGTGTTAAATCCTGTGTGTACATCATTACCCTAATCAATATAGCCACAAAAAGAAACAATAAAAACTAAATTTACATAGACGATGCTTACCTGTATGGCTTCAGAAATAAAACCAGCTATGCCCTGGAGTTCCAAAGGTAATGAGATCTTCAACATCTCTTGCATACTTCTCCCTGTCTGAACCAAAGACTCCACTGTATGGATCTGGGTTAAGGGCGTGGTGAACTCCGCTCTGTTGACCAATCCAAAAAGAATGCCAGGATTAGGGGACTGGATTATCTGTAATAATAATTTGGGGTAAACATAATAACCTCCCAAACAGATACTAGTAAAGATTCCACAAAAATCTCACCTCATTCCCTCTGTTGATATTAGAAAGAAAATTAACTCCATGATAAAAGTATAAAGTTGAGGTTGCAGCATCTCATTCTCTTTGGTTAAATAAGAAGCACAACCAATTTTTGTAGAATCACTCACATGATTACATTCGATGCTTGAATTTACTCTTCAAGGAGTAATAAATTGCAGTGAAATGAGTCATTGAAACTTACTGTTCCCAAGATATCACTCACGTCAACAGCAGCAAATTCACACGAGAGTGCAGGGAAGCTACCCCCAAAAAAACAAAACAGAATGTTAGTTCAACAGACCAATCAAAAGTAGAATTAACATTGCAAAACGAAAGTGGAGAAATTGACTGAATACGAGAAACACAACCTACCTGCCCTAAATATTGCAAAACAAGTAGAAATGTAAAACATCAACAAAAAAAAATAAAAAAATTTAAAATAGTTTGTAGGAAATTCATAGAAAAAATTTCAAGAGTATTACGTATCAACATAGTGACTACAAAGGTATATAGGTGACGAAGGTTCTGCACAAACAATTTCATGACCTCCAATATAGTAAAAGCACTGAATTTTATGTTCATTTATAGGTGTGGGTTCTTACAACTGCTTCTTGCAATATTTAAAAATTTGAGCAAAAACAAGGAGAAAATTCGAATGAATGTTGCTTAATAAGAAATAAAATTAGGTCCACGACAATACCTAAAATTAAAATCAATGCGCAAGAATTCCCCATCAGAACTCTTGTCAACAATTACAGATGTAGATGCGCTCATTGTAAAATAGTTATTTAGTTCCTGCAAAAATAAATTTGAGATTTAATTCTGTATAGAAAGTAAAACCACAAAAACAATTAAGCATACTATGATACTAGTATACTACTTTGTGAAAAGAGAGACACATGCATTCATGTAATGCAACTAGGACAGGAAGTGAATACCTAAAATAAAAAATGTGACGGTTAATAAATGAAAGAAGAAACCAACAAAAACTTAATGCAATTTTTTAAGAGCAGTGATACATCAATATAGACTTGAATCAAACTCATTTTTCATGTAATGATGAATAGTCATGATCTACATATCACATCCATAAATCTCCAATGAAATAAAAATGAGCTTCCTACCATTCCAAATAAAAATATCATGGAAAAGGCGTCGATTATTGATAATCCAGCACCTGGTAATGATGCCTCTGTCAAATCTCTAGGAATTTTCCTGAAAAATAAAAAAATAATTATGAATGAAAATAAAATGAAACACGGAAAAAAAACCTCAATAAAAACAATCATCAATAACCATGGGAAGACATAATATTTGACGCAAAACATGTACTTTGCCACAGGCAACCAAAACCAAAGGGAAAGAAAAAGAATAGAAGAGGCCACATCTGGGTGGATCATCACATTGTTTCCTTCCTTATATTATCTGCAAATTTTAAAATAAAATTGAAATAGAATAATCTCTTATTGTCAAGTCACCAATTGTCCCAAAAGCTCAAGTTGTCACGAAATAGGCCCAACAATGCATATCAAGCTATCCAACACCCTCCGTCAACCAACGGAGAAACATACTTAAGGTGCCCTGATTTCTAAATTCCTTCAAGGACTAGTTGTTCCTCTGCCTTTAAATGCATCCCATAAAGCACAAAGTAGCCACAACCCATATTTTCCGCTTGCTTCTAATAATTTTTACTCCTAGCAAATCAGTCAGACCTCATGAATACCAAAAGTCATATTAAAAGACGAAAGTGCCACACATCTACCACCTATATATAGTGAGATGATAATTCACCATATCCTGCTCTAATTTCATATGTAGAGAGAGAGAGGATGCAACCAAATCTGGAAATGATAAAATCTTATGCATTTTATAACTAATTTGGCATCGCTCGAGCAGTGATTCAATATTTGCAGTTCTACAAATACATGCTTCAGATCCTACACACCCTTTATATACTGCTGGACCACCACTCAAGCGGTGAATCCCCAGTCTTTGAATTTTGAAATGGTGAACTGCGTCAACCTGTCAACAGCAGTTCAGAAGCTATAGATGATGTGCTGACTTGCTTGCAACTTTAAGTCCATGGATGGGATTCACTGAATGTAAAGTCAAAAGGTCTTACATTACAAGAGCTATGCTACATACAACTCAAATTAATCTGGATTATAAAGCAATAAAGCACATAAGGCCATGTTTGGCAATTGGTTAAAATAGCCAAAAAGTAAAAAGCCAAATCATTCTCTCTACATTTTTTACACGTCTTTTCATAAGAAATAAAAAAAACTACTGAAAAGTCACTTCTCAAAGAAACCCATATTATGTCAAACCCATATTATGTCAAGGTTATATGGGGTTGCCAAACTACACTAGAGAAGACTCTATGGCCTAACCCATATTATGTCAAGGTTAGACTCAATCCATCCTCCCAGCAGCCTCAATTTCAGGGACTGATCACTATAGAGAATCTCCTTTTAATTCAAGATTAAAAACAAAACAAAACAAAACAAAATGTCATAAAAACCTAACACAACCATCCTTTTTTTAGCAAAAAGCATTATGTTCTATACCTGTTATTAGAAACTCGACCTGAACATTCGAACCTAGGTGAACTAAATGCTAAGTCCATTGAGAACCAAAACCCAACGCTTCAAGAACAATGACAAGTCCTGATATCAATCAAAACGTATAACAAAAACCAACAAAAATAAAAAATAAAAAAAATGTAATTCTATATACATTATATCTAACTCGGATCTAACAACAACGACTCAAATAAACAACTCTAAAAATGTATGTATTCATGAAATAAAGGAGAAGAACAGAGAGAGAAGGGAAAAAATATCAAACCCACATCACACCAATCAATAAAGTGTACATAACCTTGAAGCGAATGTAAAATAAAGAGCTGCAGGAAGCCCGAAATTGGGGGTAAAATACCTCTGTTATTGAAGACGGCAGTGGGGTTTGAAATTGGGGTAAAACAAAGAAATGCTTCACTCTCTGCTCATCAAACCAACACTCTCCTCCTCCTCACTCTCTCCCATCCACAACCCCCATTCCCCCTCTCTCTCTCCTCCTTCGGTTCCTCCCGTCCCACCGCCAGAACCTCCGCTACCTGAAAACCCTCGGAATCATCAACCCCCAAACCAGAACCAGAACTCCCTCCCCAGAATCCCTAACCCAAATCCTCTCCACCGTCCATTTCTTCAGATCCAAGGGCTTCTCCGATTCCGACTTCCCTCGACTCTCCTTCCTCTGCCCCGACCTCTTCTCCGCCACCTTCTCCCACACTTAGCTCCAACAAATCTTCGATTTCTTCGCCACCGATTTGCAAAATAGAGAGAGAAGAAGAATAGGAAATCAAACCCTAAATTACACATGTATTATTAATCAAACCCACATCGAGAGAGAGAACCTAGAGAGAGAAAGAGAGAGTGTGTGAACACAACACCCATCTCTTTTACACATTGAGATAGAACGTGGAGAGAGGGAGTTAAGAGACGTTTGGTAGACGTGGGAGAAAGACTAGAGAGTGTTTGGGCAGGAAAAAAATTAATCTCAACCGTATATATTGGTTAAAAATTATTTCAGTCATTTAAATAGAATGTATCTTTGATATATTTTAATATATTTTTAAAAATTGTTTAAATAAATACATTTTAATATATTTTTAAAAATTATTCTGTCTTATAATATAGATATTAGTTTTATCTTTATGCTTTTATATATATATAAGTTGTTGGGCAAATTACATATAATTCCTCGAGATTTGGCTAAATTACAAATATTCCCCTGAGGTTTGAGAAATTACAAATTTTTTCCTGAATGCTATATTTGCATAATAAATTAGAGGGTAATTTGTTATGAAATTTAAACCTCAGGGGGCAAATTGTTATGAAAATACAAACCTTAGGGGACGGGATGTAATTTCCGAAACCTCAGGGGTATCTGTAATTTAGTCAAACCTTAAGGGAGGTATATGTAATTTGCCCTAAGTTGTTTTCATTTTTTTTTAAATAAGTTTTTATTTTCTCATCTCACTCATCATTTTTAGCCACCACTCACCACAACGATCAATGAATGGCGAGTTTTGACCAAACTCCGACAACTCTTTACCAAGTGGGTGATCGCCGTTGTGATTTTCAATTATCAATTGGTATTCTTCAGGTCATCTCATATCCTTCAACATCGTCCAACTACTAAATTCAACAAATAAGTTTGACTACCCATTACTAACAGCCACCGCATCTATCCACCCTTCATTTCTGTCCATTAAATTTGGCAACTAATCATCACACTGTTAATTTTTTTATTTAAACCCTCTCATTCTATTTCAATGCGATGTTCAAACTTTTTAACGTAAATTTAAAATTATTTTATTTAAGCCTTTCAACTTCATAATCAAGTTTGTGTAATCTAATTTATAATTAAGGCCTTACACTTTTTTTGTCTTTAACATTTTTTTTTTAATTTATATATAAAAAAAAATTACTTTTCAGTTAAAATAATTTAAAAATAAAAGAAAGTTGAAAATATTGAAAGCAAAAATAAATAAATAAATAAGATAAAAAATATAAAAATAATAAAAACTGTATATTTTAATTTTTGATGAAGTCCCTTTCATTCACTTTATGCTCTTATTAATTTCTTTTTTTCTTTTTATCTTTTTGTTCGTTTATGGGGATATGAACTGAAGCAACATAACTCTAACTAGATCACAGAAGTGAAATGATTTATTTATCGAATTTGTTGTCACTTGAATCGTTTGAATTTGTGCCAGCTGGACGATTGGCTTCACCTTCGTCTACCGCAGTTGTCATCCTGTCATCTAGATGACTAGTGTGAACAAATTCATGCAATTCAGACGACACCAAATTGGATGAATGTAACATTACTAATCACGAAAATGGGTCAGGGATTTGTGGGGTGGGAAAAACCGAACCTCATTAGAGGCGAGACGGTGGTAAAAATGGTCTTTGTTAGGGATGAGGAATGGAAATGGAAAAAAATAATAATAATTGGAGATTGGTAGAGAGTGTAAAACTCACCCTTCTTGTCTCGTTGCCATTCTTATTTATAACTTCTCCAACTGGTCGGGTAGGAGTTGGGCATTGGCCGGGTTGGACCGGATCAACATTTTATCACTTTATAAGCAATTTGTATTGAGCTGATGTAATCAATTTAAGTCAAATCTAAAATTAATAGTATAATATAATTTTGAATTCCAATTATTATATATATATATATATACATTTTAAATGTGAGCGAACTAATTTTTATAAAATAAAAATTGTATTAAAAGTCATCCAATCGAACGTTCCAACATACATAAAAATATATAATAATATTTCACTTATTACAAATACTTTAATAATTAAAATATTATGTACTCTAATATTATGCATTGAAGCATGAGGATGGAGCATAGCTCGCTTTCAGAGAGTTGAGATACAGGTTTGTAAAATTAATTTAAATTGAATAGATTACAATTGTCTTTTTTTTTTTGTGACAAATGCGATAAACTAAATAGGTTATAATTATTGAATCGATATAATTTTTCTATGTTCACGAAATAAAAAAATGAAATGTCCAACATACTTAATAGTTCGAATTATCAAAACGAGATCTATGATAGACATCACAAGACTAAACAACGCTCTTCAATTCAAATTATGGACCGAAAAGAATTTCCTCATATAAAATAACTACGTTAGTGATTGGGTTTTTTGTTTCTCTCTCTAATTTAAGAGTGGCCCGGAGAGAATTCCCTCACATAAAATAACTACATTAGTGATTGTGTTTCTTTTTTCTTTTTTCTCTCTCTCTCTAATTTAAGAGGTTTCATAGGGCATAGGGAATCGAATTAAGAGGAAGATCCGTTCCAGTTTAAAATTTGGATTAAAGAGCATTGTTTTGGCCCATGAGGCCTACCACATGCCCCGTTTCGATAATCTGAATCGTTCATTTTATCAAGCACTTTGTGTATTTCATCTACACAAAAAATTTAGTCCATTTGATAATATTATTTAATTTATTGCTTTTTCACCAACAAAATTGACGACAATTGTGTTCTTATCCGACATGACTGCAACACTTATTTTGAAGTGCCAAGACTTCATAGCACCTAGGTCTCTGCAACAACTTTCTAATAGTTATTATTGACCGGTATCCGGTTTCGATCGAATAAACTTTACCATTGCCAAAAACTGTACAATGCATAAGGTTCATTCTATCTTTTGATATTAGGATAGTTAATTATTATTATTTATTTATTTTTATTTTTTTTTTATCAAACTAAACTAAGCCTTGTATTCCAAATCGATCCAACCCAATAATTTGTCTGTGTATTGTCCCCCACAGCCACTGATCCCAACCACTATCTAATTACAGGTGGCAAAAGCTTCTAGAGACAAAAGTTGGGCTTCATGACACCAAAATTGGTGTTGGCTTTTAATAATAGAATAGATTATCTAATTACAGGTGGCAAAAGCTTCTGGAGACGAAAGTTGGGCTTCATGACACCAAAATTGGTGTTGGCTTTTAATAATAGAATAGATATTTTTAAAATTTGTTCAAATAAATACATTTTAACATATTTTTAAAAATTATTTTGTCTTATAATATAGATATTAGTTTTATCTTTATCCTTTTATATATATATAGTTTGTTGGGCAAATTACATATACCCCTCGAGTTTTTAGTTAAATTACAAATATCTCCTTGAGGTTTGAGAAATTACAAATTTTCTCCTGAATGTTATATTTGCATAACAAATTAGAGGGTAATTTGTTATGAAATTTAAACCTCAGGGGGCAAATTTTATTTAAGCCTTTCAACTTCATAATCAAGTTTGTGTAATCTAATTTATAATTAAGGCCTTACACTTTTTTTGTCTTTAACATTTTTTTTTATTTATATATAAAAAAAATTACTTTTTCAGTTAAAATAATTTAAAAATAAAAGAAAATTGAAAATATTGAAAGCAAAAATAAATAAATAAATAATACAAAAAATATATAAATAATAAAATCTGTATATTTTTAATCTTTGATGAAGTCCCTTTCATTCACTTTCTGCTCTTATTAATTTTTTTTTTCTTTTTATCTTTTTGTTCGTTATGAGGATATGAACTGAAGCAACGTAACTTTGAATAGATCACAGAAGTGAAATGATTTATTTATCGAATTTGTTGTCGCTCGAATCGTTTGAATTTGTGCCAGCTGGACGATTGGCTTCACCTTCGTCTACCGCAGTTGTCATCCTGTCATCTAGATGACTAGTGTGAACAAATTCATGCAATTCAGACGACACCAAATTGGATGAATGTAACATTACTAATCACGAAAATGGGTCAGGGATTTGTGGGGCGGGAAAAACCGAACCCCATTAGAGGCGAGACGGTGGTAAAAATGGTCTTTGTTAGGGATGAGAAATGGAAATGGAAAAAAATAATAATAATTGGAGATTGGCAGAGAGTGTAAAACTCACCCTTCTTGTCTCGTTGCCATTCTTATTTATAACTTCTCCAACTGGTCGGGTAGGAGTTGGGCATTGGCCGGGTCGGATCGGATCAACATTTATCACTTTATAAGCAATTTGTGTTAAGCTGATGTGATCAATTTAAGTCAAATCTAAAATTAATAGTATAATATAATTTTGAATTCCAATTATTATATATATATATATATTAAATGTGAGCGAACTAATTTTTATGAAATAAAAATTGTATTAAAAAGTCATCCAATCTAACGTTCCAACATACATAAAAATATATAATAATATTTCACTTATTACAAATACTTTAATAATTAAAATATTATGTACTCTAATATTATGCATTGAAGCATGAGGATGGAGCATAGCTCGCTTTCGGAGAGTTGAGATACAGGTTTGTAAAATTAATTTAAATTGAATAGATTACAATTGTCCTTTTTTTGTGACAAATGCGATAAATTAAATAGGTTATGATTATTGAATCGATATAATTTTTCTATGTTCACGAAATAAAAAAATGAAATGTCCAACATACTTAATAGTTCGAATTATCAAAACGAGATCCATGACAGACATCACAAGACTAAACAGCGCTCTTCAGTTCAAATTATGGACCGAAAAGAATTTCCTCATATAAAATAACTACATTAGTGATCGGGTTTTTTGTTTCTCTCTCTAATTTAAGAGTAGACCAGAGAGAATTCCCTCATATAAAATAACTACATTAGTGATTGTGTTTCTTTTTTTCTTTTTTTTCTCTCTCTCTAATTTAAGAGTTTTCATAGGGCGTAGGGAATCGAATTAAGAGGAAGATCCGTTCCAATTTAAAATTTGGATTAGAGAGCATTGTTTTGGCCCATGAGGCCAACCACATGCCCCGTTTCGATAATCTGAATCGTTCATTTTATCAAGCACTTTGTGTATTTCATCTATACAAAAAATTAAGTCCATTTGATAACTATAACTTATTTAACTTATTGTTTTTTCACAAACAAAATTGACGACAATTGTGTTCTTATCCGACATGATTGCGACACTTATTTTGAAGT